ATATAAATGTATTTCCATATTTACATGCCTGTATTTAGACCTCTATAAATGCCCTTTGGCTCCTAGTTCTTTCCTCTATTTCCTTTTACTTTCCTCTTGTCCCACTATGTTCAGCCTTCATTAGGGTTTCAGTAATTCCTCTCGGTTACATTGCCCTTGATCAAGCCATACCAGGCATCCTATGCCCTCCTTGCCATTGATTTTAGATCACTTGTTGTTCCCTGTCCCTGGGTTTGTTAACACTGACTTCTTTGCCCTACCTCCCCCTCCCAACCCCCCCCAACTGTTGGCCCCATTATTTTCTCTTCAGATTGTTTATCCCACCTGCCTTATCTAGATAGACATGCAGAGACCATAATAAGCACAAAAACAAGGCAGAGCAAAACAACAATAAAAGAAAACAAAAAAACCAAACAACAACAAACCAACTACTGGAAAATAAAAGCCTATAAATAGTTCAAGGTCCGTTTGTTGCCATTTAGGCGGGTTTTCTGGTGGAGTCTGATGGGGTGCCATGCCCTGGCCCCAGTGTCTGTTTTTGGTATTCCCAGGGGACTTCATTTCTTTGCTCCCCTTGCTGCTGTGTTGCATGCCCTTAGCATTTTGCCCCATTGTGGTGGGGTCAAATCAGGCACAGTTCTGCACTGTGCCTCCAGTGTTGCCCCTCGTAGTGCTATGGGTCAGTGGGGGACGACTCAGGCCCTCTCTGTGCATTGTGTACTCTGAGCAGGAATATAGTCATTGGGGCCTGGTGGGTCAGGATGGGTTCTACTCTCATCTCCAATTTTTAATAACTCTATTTTGTAACAATGGGAATGTTTTAAAAAGCCAATATTATTAAGTCTGTGTTGTTTTTTAAAATTAAGGTTATTTTGTAATGACAAACTCTTAAATAGGGATGGTTTCCAAATTCTTTTAAGCTAGATTCATTCACTTATTTTTACTGCTTCCTTATGCCTTAGGGATTCCAAATGACTGTCTGAACAGACGTTATTGTTACGATTAAGACATAGTTCTTGTCTTGAGGGAATTTCAGTTAGATGGAGAAGACAGCATACACTACACTACGTACAGGCCATTAATTGCCGTGAGATGAAGGAAGCGTGTCAGGCAAGCTGGAGGAAGAGGCCAGGGTGAAACTCAGACGGGTGGGAATCTCAGGAACACTGGTTGGATGTGAGACAGTTTGAAGCTTACAAGTGCCATGAGCTGCCTGAAGCAGGTTGGTGCAGCATTGCGAAAGTAACAGGATCTAATAAGAGTTTCAAAACCAGGAGTGAACCAGTGTTCGGTATAATAGCTCGGCTTGTTTGCGCAATTGTGCATCACTGTTGTTTTTTAAGTTACACGAACAGCGATGGGACTAGAAGAACCACAGGCAAGAAGACCATCTGGGGCAGTTAATGGTGGCCTCCTGGTACTCTCGCCTCCGTTCGGCTGGTCACCATCCCATCTCCTCCTGGAGGCCAGCACAGAATTGCAATGAAGGAGAGTGGATACTCAGTTCAAGAGTGTCTTTCAGGGGAAAAAAAGAGTGTCTTTAAGGCTACCTGGTTTAACTTTTACAGGGAATTTTGAGGAGGGGAGAGAGGGAGGGGAGAGAGAGATTGTACCGTCAGTTTGCTGACTTCTCAAGATTTTGGGTGGGTGTTTTTGATTTGTGATGTATTTTACGTCTATCAAAACAAAACACCCAAACCCACCGCCATTAGGTCTACCATGGCTCCTGGCTGTAAATGTGTACAGAGTAGGTAGCCTCTTCTTTCTCTAGCAGAGTGCCTGGTGGGTTTGAACCTTGTGGTTTGCAGCCCAGTGCCTTGCCACCAGGGCTCCTTAGTTTACTTGTGATGGAATTTATACTAATACTTACCTGGTTTCAAACTACGAGAAAGCATTTTATGTAAAAAGAAATTTTAATGTAGGACCTATTTTAATGTAAAAATGTCTTTAATGTAAAAAGAAAATTTAATGCAGGACCTATTTTAAGGAGTAGAAATGATAGATGGATAACGATCATAAGATAAAATAGTAGTCGTGAATGTAGTTAGATTAGAATAATAATTCCATTTCATAGGATCCTGACTGTCAGAAATTTGAGGGCACTTCAAAGAGTTCGTGGAAAAATTTCAAAGTGTGGAACATTTTGCTTGCCCTCAGAACCTGCTGAAAGGATAATTATGTGTGTATGTAATGTTTTCAAATATCTGTATGTAGTATAAATAATCATACATTTGTTGCTGAGAGGGAATGTGGTTAGGCCAAGATCATTCCACTAGAAGTTGCCGAACAAACCTTTTGGTTTCTTAGCCAGAACTCAGTGTGCTATTTTTCTTGTGAGAGCCAGGATAGGAGTATGGAAATAAATTATTGTGACATTTAAAAAAAAAACCCCAGTTAAGAACAAACTAGATATTCTCTATATTTTAGGTTTTATTTTAAGTTAGTCAGCCTGTACTTTAGCCCTGGTGGTGTACTGGTTGCGGGTTGAGTTGCAAGGTTAGCAGTTTGAAGCCAGCAGCTGGCGCAGGGGAGAAAGACAGGGCTTTCTACTCTCGTGGCGTTCCATAGGTGCAGTTCTGTCCTGTCCATAGGGTGGCTCAGAGTCGGAATCAACTCCCTGACGGTGAGTTTTGTTTCGTGTGTGCTTGGTGACTTGATCTATAAAGACTTCCAGGCATGTTAGATGAAGGCTTAGCCAGAGCTTTATGATTTCTTCATGGTCTGGAATTCAGCTTTTGACATTAATGTTTGTTGTGAGGGTGGCTTTCCTTTCCATAGCTTTAGTTTCCTTCACGGGTGCAAAAATCAGGATCATGTTACCTCACTGCCCTCTGCCTACTTTTTGTAAGGCTTGTTTTGAGGGTAAATATCCTACTGGTTCCAAGATTACAAGTGCTAATGATTCATAAGAGCTTTTAATCATTCTTTTAGTTTGTAGTAAGTTAATAGAGTATTCCCCAGTTGTCACTAGTGAAGGGGATTTGTTTCCTGTAACACCTTTAAAAATAGAACAGAGTAAAGATAGTCCCGCTACTAGCGTTCCCTGCGAGACGGGGTGTGAGGTGTGTGGTGCACACAGGGTCAGGCACTTGTCACAGAGCCTGTGGAGCCTTCTCTCTACTGCGTTTCCTCTGGGAGAGGTTTGCGTTCTTTGAAACCAGGTATCTTGTGTTAATGGACCAGGAGCTGAGAGAATGAGGTATGAATAAATGTCGACTGATTCACGTCATCTGCTTTACGCCTAACACCACATCAGTCTTTATTTAATTTAGTTGAGGAGAAAAAGGCACAGGCGAGCCCCCCACCTGGGTTGGGGATTTCTGAGGTAACGCCGCGTGGGTATGGTGGACTAAACGCACTGCCATCAAGTCAGTTCTGACTCATCGTGACCCTGTCGGGCAGGGTAGAACTGTCCCTGTGAGTTTCTGAGGCTGTAACTGTTTACAGGAGTAGAAAACCTCTCGCCTGTGGAGTGGCTGGTAGTTTCGAACTGCTGACGTTGGAGTTATAGCCCAACTCGTAATCCACTATGCCACCATGCTTGCGGTAGTACAAAATTTGAAATTCTGATACTTTCAGACGATCAGGATTTTAATCATATAGATACTGTGTACTTTATTTGTAACTGGCTCTAAAGCCTGCCCTCTTAATGCACACTGGGCGTATTAAAGCGTCACGATGATTTATGATTACGAGGAGGAGGGGAAATAGAGGAGAGAGCCTGATAACTCAGTGGTGGCAACAGAGCATCTTGGCAATCTCATTGTGTGCAAAAGCATGCACTTCTTTCTTTCTTTTCTTCACAAAGCACATTTCATCATCATAGAAACCGGAATAAAAGGAGAGGAATATTGGCGTGGCCTAACGAGGGTTTTTGTGGTTGCTTTACTGGATTGCGATTGTAGTTTGATTTCTGGGCCATATTAGCGAGTTGTGCATTTTGGGTTCCTGCCAACGAGGCTACTAAAACTGTGGAAATGACTCGAGTGAACATTTTGCTGACTCTCTACTTACTACAACGTAACTAGAGAGAATTTGGATTGAGCAGGACTCAGTAAGAAATGAGCAGAGGAGAAAGGCCAGGTAGGTGGTGGGCTCCTTGGCTGGAGCTGACATTGTAGACGCAGAAAGAACATGAAAGTCCCCTCAGTTAGTGTGTGTGCTGTCCAGCAGGACTCTCTGCGACGTGAGAGAGCGTGGGAAGCATGTGTGCACACGCCTGCTTTTTGGAGGTAAGAAGCCAACGGACTTTCTCAGAGTTTTCTGAAACTCCAAAAACCACGGCTAGAGGTCTGTAGGGTTGCCTTTCTCTCAGAAGAGTTGTGTAGAACAGTCATTGAAACGTCCCTCCTTTAAGACGTAACAGCGTGGGATCTCAGGGAATTGAAAGGTCGCCTCAAAGACAGTGCTGCTGGGAGATGCTATGGGGTTAGTTCGCACGCCTAGCAGCCCAGGTGCAACTTAGGAAACACCACGGGTCCTGTGCTGGCTCACAGGTGCTGTTAGGCCATTGTCAAAGTTATAAAATGCACACACACGCACACTCTAGACATTTAATATTCTGAAAACAAATGTGGGGTTTTATGAATACCATTTCTTATCTAAAATCACACTTCATTTGACTTAAAATGATCAGTGAAATGCCTGTTTCCCAGGATGTGGTTTTCCGTTTTGTTTTTTTAAAAGCACGTGGAATTCTTTTAATAAACAATCTAGGGGGATGGTACTGTGGCCTGGCCTAAGGCTTGTAAAATTTTCTATTTAAAGAAAAAATTATTGTGCGGTAAGTACTTATTAACAAGCTTTGATAATTACCTCTTTTACATTTGTAATGAATTTCAACAGCTTTCAGGGTTAAGAGTGTGTGTGTACACACACACACACACACACACACACACACACACAAAGTTATGGCTATACCATGTGTCACCTTTTCTCTGTTTCTTGTCCCAGGTCCCTCGGACAGCCAGCAGCAAAGGTCCTCTATGCTTACAACCCTAGCCGGGAGAGCGAGGTGGTGGTGAATTCAGTGTTCACAGCTGCTAGACATTTTCATGTGCCTCCTGTCCATTGCAGGGTGAGTGTTGATGGGCGTGTGGAAACCATGCGGTGGCCGGCCGCCAGACCTTACTGATTTCCTTGGCTCAGAGTTTTTGCTTCTTTGCCTCTCCCCCTTTTTTGGCTACCCAAACTCCCTTCCTTCTACATGTTTATTTGAGCAGTTATTTTCACAGTTGTTCGTTTTCATAGTTTCCGTGGCTCTTGATAAGTACAAGGAGGGGGGAAAACTTTTAAAGAGCCTAAACTAGGTAGGAATGTCTGTGTGTGTTTAATTTGAGTAAAGAAACGTTATAGTATTTATCTGGGAATGTGACAAATGCTGAAGCACTTAGTAGTGAATGCAGGCATCGAGCTGCGATCTCGACACCTTGCAGCTCACTAAGAAATGTCTGGTTCCTTCTCTCTAAACACAGGGCGTACCGTCACTGCCGTGAAGCCCTTCTGGCTCATTGCTGCCCTGCAGGACAGTCTAAAACTGCTCCCGAGGGTCTGCGATTGTAAATACTTACTGCAGCAGGCGTCCTCTCTTCCACCTGTGGAGCAGTGGCTGGTGGGTTTGAACCACGGGCCTTACAGTTAGCAGCCCAGTGTTTAACACACTGTACCACCAGGGCTCCTGATAGTGGGCTTACAAGATCTCCATAAAGCCAATGTAGATCTCTATAACACAACTCAAAACCCTGTATTTTTCTTATAGTTTTCTTTTTTTTTTTTCCCTAAAGATCTTAAATGCTTGTAGACTTTTTACTTTTTATTTTGTTTACTTATATTGTCTTTACATTATATACATGGTGGGGAAAATTTAAAAGTTCATGAAAAATTATTGAAGGAAAAGATAATAGAACTTTCCCACAAAACTTGTTGAAGCCTCTGGTATAATAACCCAACCCAACCCATTGCCATCGAGTGGATTCTAACTGACGAAGGCCCGGTAGGACAAGGTAGTACCGCCCCGTAGGGTTTCCAGGACTATAACCTAAATGCTAGTGGTGTAGTGATTGTGCATTGGGCTGCTCACCGCAAGGTCAGCAGTTTGAAACCACCACCTGCTCTGGGGAGAAAGACATTTTCTACTTTGGTAAAGAGATAGAGTCTGGGAAACGCACAGGGGCAGTTCCACCCAGCCTCAGGCCACTGTGAATCTGCATCTACTCCATGGCAGTGGATTTGGGCTTTGATTTAATCTGTACAGACTGCCACACTTCTCCGTGGAGGGCCGGTTCCAACCACTGACCTTTCGCTTAGCAAGTCATTGCTTTAACCCCTGCACTGTCAGGGTTCAAAGATTACAATCTTTCCCCTTCCCTCTCCCCCCTTTCTTTGTACACGTGAAAACACACACAGACACACATTCTGTGTATAGCAGAGATGGCTCTTGGTTTTTATTCAGGATTCATGTTTGTACATGGGCTGTTCACTGCGATGTTAGGCTGTCTGCCATGGGAGTAAGGAAGAGCAAAGACAGATGCGAGACACATTGATCCAACTGAAGTGAAAAGACTTGGCCACCGTCTTGTTCTTTGAAAAATCCCTAGGTTGTTGGCGAGTGGTCAGTTTGGGGACCCTTAAAGACTCCTGATACTTAAAGTTAAAGATTGCTAGGATGCAAAATCTGTTACGGATATCACCAGAAGAAACCCTGAAAAATAATTTATCAAAAGGAGCTGCATTTTCCAAATAGTTATTTCGGTACCTGTTTTCCTCCCCAGGTAATTCCAGCAATGGGGGAAACTTCCTTCAGAATTATTTTCTTACCTACTGAAGAAGGAAGCATCGCGAGTTCTTTATTTATTAATACCTCTTCACATGGAATCCTTTCCTATCACGTAAGGCTCTCATCTTCTCAGGTTATTTGGCATTAACAAAGAAGGCGTGGTACTTTAAAAAATAATTGTGGAAATGTCAGTCTCAGGCCTCATGCTTTATGTCAATCACATGTAAGGCTCTTGGTGACAGTCTCTGGAGAAGGACATCATGTTTGGTAAGTCGAGGGGCAGCGAAAGAGAGGAAGGCCCTTCAGGAGCTGGAGACCCCGTGGCAGTAGCAGTGGGCTCAGGCGTAGGAACAGTGGTGCGGATGGCAGTGCTTCATTCTGTTGCGTACCTACACACCTAACAACAACAACAGTGACCGTGAACTCAGCAGTCACCCTTTGCACCTTGCAGACTGCTTTCAGCAGAGGACAGAGCTGTAAACCCTCACCGTGCACCATTGGGAGGATATTGGAGCAAGACAAAGACATCTACCATACATCTCACTTTGCTAGTATAAAATGTTAAAGACGTTCAAACCTCAAGGGCTGTCACTCATGTAGAATTTAGGGGCCATCTCTAGCAATTCTGCTTCCGCCCCTCTCAGCCCTGGACAGTTCCAATCAGGAAGCATCGATTGTGTATCAAGACTTGAGCACGAGGAATCATTTGTTCCCCAGAAATAGGGATCTTGACCAGGAAGTGTCACCTGTGAGATGTTAGCGGTATAAATCAAGTAATTTATGTGCCATGATTAATCCTCGTTGTGTTGGCTCTGATTGATTTGTGTTAAACTGGGGTCCACTGTCAGAAAAGTTACCCCTGTGTCACAAGATGCGCTGTGGACAAGTAATCTTCAGCTGAAATACAGCAGTATTCCTGTTGTCTACAGCAAAGATCTCAATCACAGTTGGTTGTCAGACTCTCGAAGGCCAAGCACAGACACCCTTTGGCGTCGTGGTGAGTGCGTTCCAAAGCTCTAACAGAAGAGTGATTTCCCCCTCTCTCTGCAGGTATCTGGAACCGGGGCTCGCAGAACCTCTGCTGAAGAGTCTGCAGAACCTCAGCCCAGTGCTTACTTCCTGCTCCCTCAGGTCCAGAGCATTCAGCTTTCACAGACACAGGTCTTTTCTTTTTTTTTTTTAATAAATTATATTAATTGGGCCTCTGATAACAATCCATACATCATTTGTATCAAGCACATTTGTACCTATGCAGCCATCATCATTTTGAAAAGATTTTCTTTCTACTGAGTCCTTGGTATCAGCTACCCCCACCTCATCCTGACGCTTGATAAGTTATATGTGGGGTACGGGGCTCCAAAGTTGAATGGGTCCAAGGGGTGGTTGTGTAATTCAGGGGTAAAATTACAGAGACGTCAGACAAAATAAAGCATGTCATTGCTCACCGCCTGGACGGACAGTCTCAGCTGCCAGATCCGAGCAGATAGAGGGAATCTGTTTCCAACCAGAGCTATATACTCAGGGGACGTGCATGCCCCCCCTAACCACAGGTAACCACTTTCATAACAGCAAGGGATTGTACTATGGGCACGCACTTCACTAGGCGTATACAAACAGTAGAAAGGGGAGGCACTAGAGGCATACATGTGACAAGATGGGTTGACCCTAGATGGCAGCCTAACCTTGACCTTAGTGTCTTTTGGCTGTCCTTCAGGGAATAATCTGTTATCCTTGTCAGAAGGGAGAGGGCTCTACCTAGGGTGGGACAGGCGATTGCTCTAGCTGGCTGATAGCCTTCAGGCAGATCACCTCTAAGCAGTTGCTCTCCAAGCGTATAGTCACTGACCATGTGTTCGCAGCAGCACCTTAGGTTTAGCATATATTGTGAGTGGACAACGTGGGAAATAGCTTTTCTGTTTCCCACAATTATAAATTATTATTATTTTCATATCTTCTGCCATTCACCCTCTCCCGTCACCCAGGTTTCTGTTGTTTGTCTCCCTGGGGTGGGGGTTATA